TGGTCATGTCCCCAAGCCCAGCTCCTCATGTCCCCAGTGGTCCTCACAGCACCTGATCCCTCCCTCCAGGCAGCACTCAGGGCACTGCTCAAACACCACTGGGGCTCCCCCAGGACCCCTGGGCTGGGCTGGCCTGACCGAAGGCACAGGCACCGTCCCTGTCACTGTGGCCGTGCCCAGGGTGCCTGTGCCCAGGGTGCCTGTGCCCTACAGCCCCCCAGCACCCCCAGAGCATTGCCCAGGGGTTCCAGAAGTGGCACTGGCACACGGGTCCTGGCACGAGTGGCAGCTCGCCTGAGCCGAGGGATCCGCACTCATCCCTATGTAGGTCATGGCTGAAGTGCTCTGCGGGAACATTAGTCACTCTCCCAGCCACGGGGCCCAGGAGGAGGCTCTGGAGCCCAGCCAGGGCAGGGGGTCTCCGCCACTCATCTTCCCACAGGGCAGCACCCACGAGCACCCTGCAGGCTCCTGTCTGAGGCCACGGAGGCTCCCGGGTGCCCTGGCCACACACACCATGGCTCATGCCCACAGAAGAGGCCCCATTGGTTGGGAAGGAGCAGTGACAGCCTCCTGGCACACAGAGGTCACCAGCTCTGCTTCCATTGCTCCCCTCCACCTGCAGATGTGCTGGTGCTGCAGATGGAGGATGCACACGGTCAGGAAGAGGGGAGTACAAAGCCTCTACGTGAGCCTTCAGAAGCTGCAGAAGCCAAATTATTCCTCTGTCTCCTGTGGATGCTAATATGGCTGTCATGGCAGTGGCGTCTCTGTTCCCTCCACTACCTGCTGGCGTTCCCACCTCTCTGCCAAGCAGAGGAGCATCGGTATCACTGTTTTAATGAGACATGAAGAGGTAGAGTGACCTGCCTGGGGGAGCACGGGCAGAGCGGGGCAGACAGCCCATGTGGAGCAGGAGCACCTCAGGAGGAGTTTGTTCCATATCCCAGGGCTTCCCTCAGCCACCTCCATGGAGGAGCAAGAGAACATCCCTGGAGCTGCTGCCAGCACTGCAGTTCAGTGCCACTCCTTGGGGCTGCAGGAGAGACCATCCTGGGAGGAAGAACACCCAGCAAATGTGGTGTGAGCAACACCATGCTCCTCTGAGCCTCGGAAACGCTCTGTGTGTCTACAGGGATCTGGGAAGATGTTTGTCACAGAGATGAGATCCAGCCCAGAGAGCTCAATCCAGCGCAGAGAGCACGACCAAAGCCCAGGGCTCTGCCAGCACCTCTGGCCCAGGATGATCCTGAGCAAATGACAGGACCAGGGAAGCGAGACACAGCTCATCAGCAGACCCCACAGCCCCGTGCTCTCCAGGGAGGGTGTCTCACCTTTCCAGAAGGGGCTTGGGCACCCATCTGGAGCCCACCCTTCTCAGCGTGCAGAGCAGCCAGCCAGGCCGGGGGGCCCTGTCAGACCAGGACTCCAGGGGCTTCCTCTCATGCCAGAAATGGCATCAGAAAGCCACAAGCTTTCCCCAGAGCACAATTATGGAAAAAGCTGGAAAGGCTTCACCACCCAGCTGTTCCCACACCACCCCGGCCACCCCTGCACACACTGATCTGGGCTTAGGGGGCTCAGCAGGGTCCCCCTGGGATAGCCCCTGTCTCACTGGTGCCCACCAGCCATGGTGCCAGCAGCCAGCATTGCGGCCTCTGCAGCTGCAGCTCCCAGCACAGGGAACATCCTTCCAGAATACAAATTCCTGCCTTTAAGTGCATTCCCAATGCCATCAGGCAGCCTGCTCCCCTTTATCTCCATGTGCTTTGGACAACTGTGGTTACCAGGGGAATCTGGGAATTACCAAGTGTCCTCCTGTCTCCCTGTGCCTCAGTTTCCCCCCCATCAAACAGCCTGGACCACACAGATCATCCCCACAAACACGGGAGGCAGGCTCTGCCAACGGCACTGGTTAGGACTAGAGTAGTGTTGTTAGCACGGATGGGAATAGACCCACTAATTATCCATGGCCTCTGGATGCCACCATACTATTAAATAATTATAATAATTATCATTTGTAAAGAAGACAACCTCAGTCCAAAGGAGCTTCTGCGATGA